TTGTTTTCATCATTGAATACTCTTCGTTGTTGGACAATCCGTGAAACGCAACAGAAGAAAGTATAATTTAATACGGAAAAATGATAAAAACTGATAAATATATTTCTGCAGCTAGATATAATAACAGTTAAATGATGGACATATAAAATATGAATAATATTCTATCTTTATATTTCATAAATATCGTTATCATAAAGAAAAAGTAATTAAATACTGAGACTTAACCATGACCGAATAATGCCTATCTTTTCCTATGTTAAAACATTTTATCGGTTTTTAAACGTTAAGTAATTATCATTATTTTTTATTCATGTTTTAAATTATAAATATATAATAAAACAATAAAGATGCTACACTGTCCAGAAATATAATAATTATTGATATTAATATATGATTTTATTAGTGTATTGATAAAGCTATGATTTTAATGACAAAAGATCGAGATCTGTAGGAAAGAAATTTGTGGATATTTCTATGTAATAAAATCAGACCTCTTCGTCAAAGAAAGATACATCAAATCAATATGCGTTGTACGTGTTTTATATGTACGTATATATGTATGTATATTTTATGAGAGGAATTTGATTGAAATAGGTCATGATGTAAGAGGATCGCTCAAATTTCGAATATCACGTAAAATACATGACCAAGTACAATACTCATTAGTACATGACTCGAATATTTCAATAGCAGCATTTACGAGAAGCATAATACGTGTATCGTCGTGTATAACAACATCGTTCTATACTATAATTTATCTAAGTCCGACGTAATTGTGTTAATAGAATACATAACATACGCCAGAATGAATAACATCAACATTTCTGGACATTTCACTCCACATATTTGTTATTTTCTTGAGTAGTAATTTAAAATAATTTTAGAATAATTCGTACTGTATATGTACCATTGCACTTCATGTTTATTTATTATGTGAACATTTTCTGAAGTCATATTATTTTGTCACAATGTATGCAGAAAAATTGTATATTTTTATATTTTATAAAAACTGGAATAAAAAAACCGGAATTAAAAATGGATATACTTTCTAAGAAAATGTAATTCTTATTTTAAATTATAAAGAATTCTATATATATTTGATAGCAAAACATTAACTTCGATGAACAATGAATGATTCTTCATATAATCCACGATATAATTATTTACAAAATCATACTTTTCTATTTTCCATCTAAATTGTTTCACAAATAATTTCAATCAAAC